TTTTTTTTTTGATAAATAGATAGAACCTTTTATTAATTTGGAAATATTACCACATACAAGCAGCCCTCGGAAAGGCGCAAGCTGCAATATCTCCACTAAAGAAGAAAACAAAAGCAATAAGTTACAGTTGTGCCCAATACAAAACTTCCCTATCTAACCCTTGCTTGGCTAGACAGTCTGCCATAGCATTTGCTGATCTTCCCACCCATTATATTCTTAGGTCCATGTTTCTTGTCAGCACCTTAAACTTTTTAATTTCATTCCTGAAGCACCAAACTACTGACTTTGGGTCCTGCAACCAGCTTATTACAACCTTTGAGTCACCTCCAACTATTAGTTGTTCCACCCCTAATTGAACAGAAAACGGTACACCTTGCAGGGCAGCAAACAATTCCGCTCTAGTAGAGTCTCCCACTCCTAAAGGACCTGAGAAGATAAGTATCGCATTCCCAACTTCATTCTTCAATACCCCACCTAACCCAAAAGGGCCTGGGTTTCCTAGACTGCTTCCATCAAAATTCAACTTCAAGAAGCCTGTAGGAGGTGATGACCAGCTTGTTCTCACTTTAATCTTGGAAGAGGAACAACTTGCCACTGCTGCCCAATTCCTCCAAATGTCATTAAAGGAGAATTGGTGGAACAAGTCCAAAGATTTCAGCCAATGAATCACCCTAACCAAGACACAGTCCTTAATCTCTTAAAGGTTCTTCCTTTCCTTCTCCAAAAAAGTTCTAACATTCCTTTCTTCCCAAATTGTCCATATTAATGCAGCTCTTGCACACCTCCACATGATTTTACCCCTTTTTTGCTGCCAAACAAAAGTAGAGGGATCAAAAAGCAATCTTAAATATGCTGGCAAGTTCCAATTGCTCCCAAACAAAGAAAGAAGCCAATTCCATAACTCTGGAATAAAGGAACAAGAAATTAGCAAATGATAACAGTCCTCACCAAAATCTTAGGGGGAACAGGTCTGCGCCAAACTTCCTTAACAGGGAAGCCCTGCTGAGGGTTAAGGACTGCACCAAAATCTTAGGATATGCATCTTATCATATTACGGTGCTTCCAAGGGATGGAATGATATGCCCTCTATACGGTTTATATATTCACTTTCTATTTTGATTATTCCATTTAGAAAATTAGCAAATTTACTAGAAAACAAATGTTATCATGTTAGGCAACTTATTTCCTACTGTAACTTCATTCCAAATCCTATCCTTTAYGGTTTATCCACTTATCCATCTTAACATTCACATTTTTCCAACATTCATTTTCTAACACGTTGTTTATTGACTGCTCAACACTCAGCAGTTTAACAACAACAAATTCAAGCAAAGCCTCAGAGTACTAAAGATTTAAGCAAAAAAATTAGAACAACAAAAACTGAATCGAGAGATGCAAAAATGAAGAGTACGTACAGGAAAGGGTTACACTTGATCTTCCGTGAAAGAAAATCGCCAGAATATACTCTGTAGTGTGAAAGAAAACAACTGCCGCAAAGAACTGGGACAATTGCCTCAAAGCCGTGTGACTGACGAAGGCCGTCACCATTTTTAACTGTACGAAAGCTACTAACTTATCTACGCTATGCAGCCTTAACTGAAATTCTTGGGTTCTGAAAGAAACCCCAACAAGATTCTTACGAGCTAATTCTAGGGTTTCTTTCACCAGCATGAAAAGACAAAATATCAATCAATGGGCACCGAATCTTCTATTTCTCCCAAATTACATCACAAAGGGCTAACGCAAAATGATGAAAATAGAAAATCTTAATAAATTCAGTTAGAAATGAACTGTGAGGTAAGACTATAACTTGAAGAAATTGTAGGGAGGGAACCAAACACATATATACCCCACAACAACAGCATCCCATAAAATTCTTCACATTAGCATCTCRGTAGGTGACTTCGCACTAATCCACCTGATCACGGCCAAACACTCTAATACCGACGTCACTACCTGTACTGCAACGCATAGTGCATTTGATATGTGCCTTAAAAAAAGTGGAGAATCCACCCTAAAAGCTAACTGTTAGAGTAGGAAATCTAAATACATATACCCCACAATAGCATCCCATACTATCGATGTGGGATTCCTCGCATTAGCATCCCTTATTATCAATATGGGACAAATGGATCGTAATAGGCTTTTATGTGGTGGCTTGCTTTACCTATGTGGATAGCCTATAAGTAATGTTTGGTTACATTGGTTTGGAGAAACCAGAAAAGTCCAAAGTCGATTATGTGACAAATTTTCATTTTGGCTTTGGATGTGCAGTAGCTTCGTAAAGGCTCGTAAATGGATCGAATTCGAACCGAATCCAGTTGATTCAAATTGGAAACCTATTATGTGATATTCGAATTCGATTCGATATCCGATGGATATTTAAAATGTAGGTTAGAATTCGATTTCGATTATTAAGTCCAATATTCATTCGATTCAAATTCGATTGATTACTAAGGATGAAAGCATTTTCAAGCTTTTTATGAAATAAAACCCCAAAACATATCACTAAATTAGGTTTTTGAGTTTTGGATTACCCGAGAAAGGGGAAGTGGAAAGAATCCAATTCTTTGCACCATAGTTTCAGATTAAAAACCTAGATCTACAGTCTGAAAATATCTTAATGCCAGAATAGGTGCATTGGTGCTGGAGTGGTTGTTGTTTTGCTTGAATTGGGTGGCGGCGAACTAGCAAATTGGAGAATGGTAGGCTTAGAGGCAATAACAACTTAATCAGACCATGCTAGGCTGGCACGGCACGACCCATGCAAAAGTGCGGGACGGGCCAAGCCGTGCTTTCCTCCCCTAGGATACTACTGGGGGTCGGCCCAGCACAACCCATGGCTCAAGCCCGTGCGGGCCCATGCCGAGCAGGGTCGTGCCACAAGCCTATGTCGGGTAGGCTACAGGCCGTGTAGTGGGCCTGGCCCATGTCAAGCTGGGTTATGAGCTGGGCCTTGGGCCTAGGCTGAACCGGGCCAAATTGTTTTTTTTTACATTTTGTTTTTTTATTTTTTTGCTAAAATATTTCACTTTCCTTAATTCAATAATTCCTTTAAGCTTTAGGAACAAGTTGGAAAAATAAAAAATCTAACAAAAAAATTAAAAAAATACTTAAATACTTAAGAAAATACAAACTGGACAACAAATTGGAAAAAAATGGGAATTTTCTTGAATTTAAAGAATACAACGGTCGATGGACAATGGATGAATAAAATAAAATATAATACAATTATAAATTGAAAATGAAAAGTTACATTGTTGAAAAAATAACAACTAATATAAATAAAATTGAAAAAAATTACAATAATTTTAAAAATTGAAAAAATTACAATCATTTTAAAAATTAAAAAATTACAATAATTGAAATATCGAGTATACAAAAAAATAAAAAAAATATTGACTTCATCATTTTTCTTCATGTTCCACCTTCACTTGCATCTTCATCTAATCATCTCTTTGATTATCATCATCTGCTTCAAGTGAAACATCTGGTGTAATGTCATGCCCTCCTTTGTCTTATAATTTACCCTCAACATCCAATCAAATTTTAAGACAGATGCACATTTCTAGACTTTCATAATTCATACAACTTTTCTTATCATCTAGCACCCTAGTACTTACACTAAAACAAAACTCTGATGGAACTGTAAACATCGGAGGGGTTAGTAAATCATGTGTCACGGTGGCAAAGACTGAATAGTTGTTTTCATGTCCTCTCCACAAAGCTAAAATATCAAAATTATCCCATCCCTCATTGTCACAGGAATCAGTTAGAGTAGAAATACTTGCTTGTAAATAAAAATTAAGTTCARTAAATAAACTTGCTGATGAACTGGTAGAAGATTTCTACATCTTATGTAGTAAAAACCGAATTTTGTCTAATCCACCACTGGAACTAACTGTTTCAGAAATGGAACTTGCACTTGTAGAAGATTTCTTATGCCCACCCACTTGAGATTCATATAACCTATACATTTCAAATAATAAACTATTAAATTCTTTTATTTTATTTCCAATTTCATAATTCATATTTTCACAATATGATTCAAGTAAAATTTTTAAACCATTTTTCATAATCCTAAGATCTAATATTATAGTTAAGCAACAAAAGGGGAACAAATTTTTCCCAATATTTTTTAAATTTATTTTCCATTATTTCAATAATACTTTGAAATTATAGATTTTTCCTATATTTTGCAAATCATTCACTAATTATAAATAATTGATTAACTAAAAGACAACTAGTTGAGTAATAAATACCTGATAATTCATTAATTGCATCATAAAAAAATTGTAAAAGATCTTTTATACAAATGGCCATTTCCCAATCTTCCTCAAGTATAGGATTGTGTGGCATTTTTGCATTATAAAAATCACTAAGAATTTGTTTGTAAGAAATACAACTTTCTAACATAGAATAGGTATAATTCCATCTATGTTGAACATCTAATGCAAAATGTTTATATTTTAAACCATAATTTTGACACAAATATTTAAATTTTTATTTTCTTGCAAGAAATTTTAATATATATTATACAATTTCTAATTTTAGAAATATGATGAGAAATAATATTTAAAGCACCTTGAATACATAAATTTAAAATGTGACATGCACATCTAATATGAAATAATTTACCATCTAAATATGGTTTTAATTGAGATTTTAAAATATTTATTGCTAAATCATTATTAATAGCATTATCAAAACTAATAGAAAAAAGTTTATTTTCAATTCCATAAATATATAAAGTATTTAAAATACTTGTAGTAATAATTGGGCCAGTATGTGGCCATTCAAGCCTAGTAAAACTCAAAATTCTTTTATGTAAAAGCCATTTTTCATTAATAAAATGATCGGTAACACAAATATAACTTATGTTAAATCTAGATGTCCAAATATGAGAAGTAATTGACGTTTTAGAATTAAGATTTGATAACATAAGAAATTAAGTTTTGTTTATATGAATAAAAAAATTTTAAAGCATTTATCATTCTAATTGTATTTCTAGAAAGTTTTTTAAATTGTGGATGTACAAATCTACGTAAAAATTTTTCAAGTTTAGTATATTCAATTAATAAAAATGGATGTTTAGCATGCACAATATATTTTCCTAATTCATGCCTCATTTTTTCTTGTGAATATTTAAAAGTACCAAAAATCTCACTTTCTATTTGTGCTTGTGATGTTTCTCTCCCTTATTTTTTCTTCTTCTTTCATCAAATAGTGTTTCAAATGTCTGCCCAAGTGGCTAGTACCACCACTACTATTATAGCTAAAGTCACTCCTATGTTTTTGACAAACAACTCTCTTTCCCTTCCTCTCAATCTCCTCTATTTTAAATATTATCCAAACTGAGTTAATCAACATAGTGTTCTCCTTTTTCTTTCCCCTACCTCTAGTAACAATACTAGGGGTGGGAATGTCAACAATATCAACAACATCCATATCAGCACTAATACTATCATATTGTGACTGAACATTGACATCGTTGACATTGACTACATTGAGGAACTAGTGTCGAGAGCAAGAGGAGGAGCCAACCATTTTTTAATTATAAAAACAAAAATTAATTTAATTGCACTTACCTGAATTGCTGGTTCAGAATTTCAACTTGATTTCAATAGTTGAAGACTCCAAGTCTCCCAAATTGCTAACTTGAGATACCCAAGCAAGCCTTCTTCTTGTTGAAACTTGAATCAAGTTGAGAATTGGAGAGTAGAGAGTATGAGAGTATATATGAAAGTATGATGTATGGGAAGGGATTGAGATTTGAGATAGTATAAGAAAGTATGAGAATTGGTGGAGGATAAGGCTATTTATTTTTTAATAATGCCACTATAAAATTTTAATTTGAATTTAAATCTTTTGAACCAACCAACCAAACAGAAAATCGACCCAAACCGATATAACCCGAGTTGATTGGCTTTCACTAATGGTCAGTCGGTTTCGGGTGACCAACACCCCAACCTAACTAGGTTGATTTGGTTGGCCAAACAACCTAAAGCCAAACCGAACTAACTCGTGAACACTCCTAATTTTAGCTAAATTAATAGTCTATTCTCTAATAAATAACAATATTTTAATCTCAAATAACTATTGAAAATTTATAGCAAAAATATACAATTATTGAAAATATATTGATAATGAAAATATAATAAATAACTAATAAAAATACAATAATTACAAAAATATAATAAATGCTAAAAAATATTAAATTAGTCAATAAATAGTTTAATCTCTAATAAATATTAATCAATAAATTATAACAAAAATACAACAAATACAATAAGCACAATAAATTAAATTTAAAAAGTTAAATAACAGTAATTTAATCTCCAATAATTATTGAAAAATTTCTATTAAACAACAAAAAAAAAGTAGATTTATGTTATAATTATTATATTTATCACAAAAACAATAAATAATTACTAAAATTACAATAAATATTAATTTTAGTATATATAAATATATAATAATAAAGATTAAGATTTTAAAATTATTATTAATCAATATTATTTTTTTGAAAGTTAATTTCTAGAATTATTAATTGATTTAAGTGAAAATTTTATTTAAAATATTATTTAGTTATTTAAATAATAATATTATTTTAATTTAAAATATTAATTATTTATTGAATTTAATAATCCATAAAATTTAAATTTATACTATTATTACATAATATTGTTATTATTTTTGAAAAATATTAAACTATTATTAATTTGATTATTATGTCATAATTATTTTTCATTATTTTAATTTTATTGATTTTAAAGTTATTACATAATATTAAATATTTTTTTATATAATTATTTAGCAATTTTTAATATTTTATTATTTAAGATATTTATTTATTAAAATATTAAAATAATATTTTATTTTTTAATGTTAATTTTTTATTATTCGAATAACATTTAAATTGAATAATTTGGAAAATCATAAAATAATAATTTTTGTTGTTAGTACATAATTTCGTGATGATTTTTGTAAAAATATAAAATTATTAATAATATGAATAT